TGGGGGACACCTCACATTTGCACCATAATGGTGTTAAGATGAGATTGGAATAATTCACCGAGTCAATCTTAAAGCAGGAGAAGGAAACTTTATTCCCCAGTTGGTGATCTGGATCCACCAGCTGGTGGGCCCAGGGGTAGGCAGCAAGTCTATACCCTTCAGCCCCCTCCCAGAGTTTGAATACACCGTTTATAGTCCAAAACCATATTAAAGCACAAGTGGATGTTGCTATGATTCAAAACCATAAACAAATGTCATGAGATCACAAGCAGAAAAGAGAGTGGTCCATAACATCCCTAGTTGAGAACAAGTTAGAGAAGGGTTTCTAACATCAGACAATCAATCTCTGACGGGATACACTGTCCAAGAAAAATGGGCACCAAAGAGAGAACACTTTCACATTGTATAAGAATTGTCATTTTGTGTTGCCAAACATGTTATGCTAAGAACTGTTGCTGGGCACCGAGGCGGGGCTTTCCCTGGGACGTGGAGTCTCAGGGCAACATGGAATCTGTTTGGTCACTGCCCATGTAGCCACCTCTCTCTGGTCTGGCCCCACCACCCCTTCTCCAGAGGACAGCTGTGGTTTCCTGCACACCCCTGACCTGCTCCTGCCTGCTATCCACGAAACAGTGGAGAACCTGCAAGGCAAGCTGTGAAATGCAGCCTGCCACTCCCTCCCATTGGAGGTAGGCTCAAGTCCCAACACCAGGACCGACAGACCCCATCGGACTCTAACCTGCCCCGTGCTGCTCTCCGCAGCCTTCCTCAGACCCAGCTCTCCAGCCCCGGGGCCATTTGCACACTTCTGTCTATGGAAGTCACACCTTCAGACCTTAAGGTGGTTTCCTTAGAGAATCGTGCTTCATCCTTGGAAAACAGGACTCCTCACCTCCATTTCTCAAGCTTTCCCTCCCCTTCCAAGCATTACCATTTTACATATGTGACCATTTCATTTGTTGATTACATTTGATCAAGGGCTGGGTAGTCATGGCCAAGGATTCACTGAGTGCACACAGAGGTTCCGGAGGACCCCACTGCCCAGTCTTGTCGCAGTTGTCCTCCTCTGTGTGGGCCACAAGTGACCAAGTCACCCAGGGCTGGCTGAGTCCAGTGCTGAGCCATGGGTGATGAAGCTTGGCGTTTGGTTCTTCCCATGGGACCTACCACAGGGTCGCGGGGTGCAGGGCCATGCTGAGCCTGGTGCCCTGTGGAGCCCCACTCACCATACACAGGCATCACTTTCCAGACAGACCTGGGCTGAACCTGGCTACCTGGTGTCACAAGGAAGCTGGGGTCGGGCTTGAGAGCCATGCTCAAAGAAGGCAGAGCAGAGACGATGCTGCCAAGGTTGCGGAAGAGTTTGGTGAGTGTGTGCCATGGGAGGGATATTCCGGGAGATGCCTGGGCACAGAGTGGGGAAGGCTGGGGTGTCCGCCGTGCTCAGTGGGCCAGCGTGCCGGCAAAAGTGGAGGGGGGTGGAAGGTAGGGCTGGAGTCAAGTCGGGGACCACTGCAGTGTGGGACCACGCAGTTATGCTTTAATCCTTGTACCTGAGGAAGAGGACCTGGGAAGGCTTGTGCCAAGTTGCCAGGATCCAGCCCATTTGTGGGGAGCTGGAATTAGAACCCAAGTCTGCCCCCGCGAGGTTCCGGCAGTTTCCATGACACCCAGTCATCTTCTTCCACCCGCATAAAGCAAGTAGGCGCTCATGAGACTGCAGTTTCTGTCTTGGGCTAAGCTTGGCAGAAGAAGGATTTAGTCTTTGGGGCAGGGATATTTTATTCTTCCCCTACTTCTGGAAGAGAAAGGCCCCAGCTGATTGAGTGAGACACTGCCCCAGGGCCTGCAGCGCTTCACCCACAGTCATGGTGTTGGGTGGGCATTCCTGGTCCTGGGATGCTCACGAGTTGGTGCAGAGGAAAGCCCGCTTCCCAAGCAGGACATGCAGGTCCCTCTTCCTGGCACATGGCATCCTCTGGCCTGGGGTGTTTGCTTTTGAGTCTTAAGCTCACGGAGGAGGAAGCTTCTAGCTGAGAGGAAATTGCAACCTGAGATGGTGCAAACACCCCAGGCAGAGTTCTGGCTCACCTCCTGCTCCAAGGGAAGGGCCTGAAGCCTGTGGGGCGCATTTCCTCCTGAGGGCTGAGAAATGCTTTCTTTTGCTCTCCCTGAGCCAAGGCTGAAGACAGTCCACACCTACTGCACGGTGTGGGGATGGTTCTCTCAGCCCCTTCCCAAGGCCCAGCCCTGGACAGCATCAGGAGCTCTATCACACTGTCCTGTCACTTGGTTCTCACCACAGTCTCGCTCTCTATCATTCTGTCCTGGCTTCTCATGTAGGCTCTTGCAATAGTCTTCATACTGCTTGATGATCTCACAACCAGTCGGCTCTTTTTGATCTGCCCTCTTTTTAGAACATGAATCCAAGCAGAACTTGGCCTAGCCCACACCCCATCAAGCATAGGGCAACTGCTAGTCTTCACTGTGGTGAGAAGCACCCAGGTGGCGTCCTTTCACTCTTCATTCCCCACAAAGCTCTGCTCATACCAGAAACCTCTGTGGTCTCCACACAGTTCACTTTTTCCCCACTCTTCACAGTCATGACCATGACCTCAGGACCATCTGCCAGGAAGGCCAACCATCGCTCTGTCAAATGTGCAATCTTGGAGGTCGCTTGGATCCTCTTGGTCTCATTGCACTCTCTCAGGGTGGGCTGTGTGAGGCCAGCATCCTGCTGGTAGGGGGCTTAGTAGCACCTTGAGCTGTATATGCCCACGGCAGTGGGTAGCTCTCACCACGCCTGGCATTGTGATGTTCTGAGATGATTTGAACAGCAAGGATGTCTGTGCTCTCCTTGAGTCTACTTTCCAAAAACCTTCCCCGATTTAAAGGGTTCAGTTTTTTCTCTGCTCTCCTGGGATTTCTTAGTTATGGAGGGAGTTTATAATGATGGCACTCACCTGGTGTCTTCTGGCTTGGGGCTTCTTCCCTGTAGGAGGCGCCTTCCTGAACAGCGCCAGGCATGGTGATCCCTGTTCAGGTCCGAGGACCTTGCAGAAAGTCTGGTTAAGTGTCCAGTAGATACTCCTTTGTGAATCAATCCTCCATTCTGCAATGCAGAACTGATGAACGGATTCAGGCTCCTGACCTTGCTGACTTGACTTGTTCCTAGGCTCCTGCTCAGCCTCTGTCCTTTTTCCAGGATTGCAGCAGGATGCCTCCATGAGCTGCAATTGCCTTCAGTGGGTCTCCCCTGTGCCTCGGTAAGGCCTGGCCTCTGGCTGCCCATGAACCCTCTCAGCCTCTAGTGGCATCAGTCCCTGCCATCTCTTCTATTCTTGAGTGGCTGCTGCTTTCCTCTGCCTGGCTCAGATGAAGAGCGTTTCACAGGCTCTTCTTCCACTTGGAATCATTTTCTAGGTATTTCTTGGTTTTCTCACCCATCAAATCCCGTTTCAGATGCCTCCTTTTCAAAGGGGCCTTTCCTGACCTACTGCCCCACCATCTGCTCCACCTCTTCCTGTCTTCCTTACGGCCTGGGTCACTCTAGAGCATCTTATTTGCTTATTTTCTGATTCCTTCCTTGGTAATGAAAGCTCCACGGGGCAAAGACCTGGTCTGCTTGCTCACCTCTCAGGGCAGGTCCTCAAACAGCTCCTGGCTCAGAAGAGGTGATGGAAAGCTGAGTCTTAGCTGAGCGTACACCGCAGCATTTGAGAGCAGAGCTCTCCACACACCAGGTGCCTAGAGAAGGGAGATCACAGAGCAGCAGGAGTCAATTCTCGTGCCCATCAGAGAGAAGCACAAGACCACCAAGGCGGGGGGTGCCCTGGCTGCTTCCCCTCCAGCAAGCCCCATGGGATGCTTCCCCCAACATCCCCTACAAGTATTAAACCGTTTAAGAAAGCAAGAAGTCACAGTCAAGGAAGTGAACGACTATGAAAGCTGAAACAGAATGATGGCAGGAAGACCTGCTTCTAGCAGCGCCAGAGCAGTAGGTCTGACGCAGCCCCTGCTTCCCGGAGCAGGGAAAGGGGCATGTGACTCCCCGAGCAAGGTGTGTAAAACTAACACCATGTTTCCCTGTCACTGTGCACAATCTCACAATGAAAACCACTTTCTCCACTCTACAATTCAGAAACATGCTGGCACATCTGCCTCCCTCAGCAAGCCTGTCCAGTGAGGACCCCTTGGCTCTGGACCCAACTTCCGTGGTAGCACCTAGGCGAGTTCCCTTCCCACACAAGGCGTGCTTCCTGCTTGGCAGCCTGCGTGGTGGCCAGGTTGTCTCGAGGTCCACTAGGCACACCAGCAGCTGTGAATCCTGATTCACAGGCAGACCTCTCTGAAGTTCTGCTGTGGACCTGTTCAGCATCACTGGATCTTTCCGGGTCCTCTCTTATGTTCCCTGCAAAGCCTGGAGGTTTGGAGGCAGATTATATTTGGATGTCCCCCCTTCTTTTCTGAAATACTGTTTGGAGGCTTAGGATTACGTAGACATAAACCCACTGCCAGGCTGGGTTGTGGCTCAGTGGTAGAGTGCTTGCCTTGTATGTGTGAGGCACTGGGTTCAATTCTCAGCACCACAAAAATAAATAAATAAATAGAATCATCAACAACTTAAAAATAAATAAAATCATCAACAGCTTTTGTTTTGTTTTGTTTTGTACCAGGGATTGGACTCGGGCATGCAACCACTGAACCATATCCCCAGCCTTATTTTTTGTATTTTATTTACAGTGATCCTCCTGCCTCAGCTCCTGAGCCGCTGGGATGGCAGGCATGCACCATCATGCCCGGCACTAACACAGGTTTTTTAAAAATAAATAGATACATAAATAAATAATAAACCCACTGCCAATGACAGCTGGAGTCTGTGAGTCTGCTGCCTCCTGCAGTCCCTCTGGCAGGAGGAGAGACTGTCAGCATAAGGCTGAGTCCATTCTGGGTAAGGTTTCTGGAACACTCAGGTCCATCACAGAGTTGGAGCTTTACTTTCCTAGCCTGGTTCTCATGGCTGCCTGGCATAGCCATCTGCCCTACAGCTACCTCTCCCCGGCTCCCCCAAGCCTCTGGAGGTCACACCTAGAGACCCGCACTGGCCCACTCCTTCCTGGCAGGGCTGAGGGTCAGACCTTGGGCCATGGTGAGGAGTGTTTCTAAGAAGAGGCCCCTGGAGTCGTCCCTGGGCGCCTATGAACGACTAGCCCCAGGCTCGGCGGCAGTTTGCCTTGGGTCAGGGCCCCAGCTGCGTTCTCTGTGACATGTCGGTGCTTTCTTCCTCTCCTCCGGGGCCCTCGGCACGAGCGGAGCTGCAGCGCGGCCATCTGATTGGCCGACTGGACGTGGCGGGGCTATAAAAGAGAGCCCTGCAGGCTGCGGAGGGAGATGCTCCCAGGGTTTTGACCGCCGCTCCACTCTCTCAGAGAAGAGCCCGGAGCCCTGGAAACGGAAGCCACAGCCGCCGCTCCCGACGGTCTCCCGCGGCGCACCCCGCCCGCTTCTCGAGATGTGCAAGGGACTGGCGGGCCTGCCGGCCTCCTGCCTGCGGAGGTAAGGCTGTGTGCAGGCTGTCTTTCACAAGGACTAGTCAGCTGCTTGCTGAGTCGACTTGGTCAGTGGTTCTCTGCGTAAGATGCAGTGTGGCCAGGAGTCCTGCTGTTCTTGCTCTGTAGGACTAGCTGGATGTGGAGGCTGAGGGAGTAGGCTCCCCAGATTTGGGTACCTGTGTGTGGTGCATGTGACTTTATGAGACCTGTGATGACTTGGAAGCCCGGTCCTCTGAGCCAGGTGTTTGACATTCAGGGGAGGCCTGTGTTCCAAGCTACACACAGAGGTCTGCAAGCCTCTGTGACCAACGCTGCCACCTGAACCTCGCTGCAGCACATGGGGTCGGACTCTGTGCTCCTGACCTCGCATATAGGTGTTCTGGGGAGGCACCCAGGAGAGGGGTGTAGCCTGGAGAAGCAAGCTCTGGTGGGTGCAGCACTGCCCTCTCTCTGGGCTATAAGCAAGTATCATGGTAAAGCTCCTTTCAAGGGGCACCTCCCCCCTTCCTCTGTCTCCAGCCCTGAAGTCAGCTCGGGGTCCTGTGGAAGACCTCCTCCTGAGGACATTGTTTTATCCATGTGCCAATTAAAAAGAAAAAAGTCCTTAAAGATTTGCAGCTGCTCATCTGCCTCTGCTTTATTAAATGAGTGATTTTAGAGAATGCTCATCTGTTAGCAGTTGAGAATAAAAGGAAAGACTCGAGATCTTTCCTTATGAATCTTCAGTTAGGGTCACGTCAACCTGAAATTATATTAACTCCTCTCTTGTCTCCCTGCAAGTAGAAATCACATTAAATTTCAATTTGGAAATAAAATTGTTTTTCATGTGTCACTGAGGAGTTTACCTTTCCAACATTCTGCCCTCAGGGCAAGACCCTGCCCAGGCTTCTTCAGAAGCAGCAGGGGTCTGGCAGGGGAACCAGAAGCCACTAGCCTCCAGCTCCAGTTCAGTCCAGTCACCTATGGAGTGACCCTAGAGGGCAGGGGGTGGTGGGGATGGGAAGGCTACGCTGTGGCTCTGCCCTCAGCTGGCTGCCAACTTGACCGGGACCTGCTCAGCAGGCTGCCCCTCCTGGCCCAGCTGCTGCGCACCTCCCCCAGTCCAGGCCCCAGAGGGCCTTACTGTTTCTGCCCACACGGGTGAGGAGTCTGGCTCCCTGTATCCAAGGATGGCGAAGTCACCTGAGCTGTGCCCTCTCGGTTGTCCTATGCTGTGACCCCGCTCCATGGCCACTGGGCCAGCAGAGGCAGCAGGTGGAGTTGTGAAATGGCTTCTGTTGGCACTGAGTCTCTAACCAGGCCTCGGGACGAATAGCCCAGGGACTGCTGTCATGAGCAGGCTTGGCCTTCCCCTGACAGTAACAGCTGGAGGCAGAGGAAGGGGCAGAGCCGAGAGCACGAAAGCCCTCCTGCAGGGCGGCACGCAGAGACCACAGGTGCACTCCAGGCCGCAGCCATCTGGGTCTTCCACGCTGGGTTCCATGTTTTCCTCACCAGCAGGAACGTCTACTTATTTTTTCTTTTAAAATACCTTTCTCTTCTTAAATGACTTCTTGGCTTTCACAATAAAAGAGGTAAAGTGAAGACAGAAAATGATAGGGAGAGAGTGAGCCAAGAGCTCATTAGTAGTCCTCCCTCCTGCTCCTCATTAGGGGTCCTCCCTCCCACTTCTCTTAAAGGATCCTCCTAACGCTCCTCATATGGGTCTTCCTCCCTACTCCTCACTAGGGGTCCTCCTCCCGCTCCTCATTAGGGCTCCTCCCACTCCTCATTAGGAGTCCTCCTCCCTGCTCCTCATTAGGAGTCCTCCTCCCTGCTCCTCATTATGGGTGCTCCTCATAATGGGTCCTCCTCCCTACTCATTAGGGGTCCTCCTCCCACTCCTCGTCAGGATTCCTCCTCCCACTCCTCATTAGGAGTCCGCCTCCCACTCCTCATTAGGAGTCCTCCTCCCCACTCCTCATTAGGGGTCCTCCTCCCCACTCCTCATTAGGGGTCCTCCCTCCCATTCCTCATTGGGGTCCTTCTCTCTGCTCCTCATGAGGGGTTCTCCTTCCACTCTTCATGAGGGATTCTCTTCCTGCTCCTCATTAGGAGTCCTCTTCTCTGCTCCTCATTATGGGTCCTCCTCCCTACTCCTCATTAGGGGTCCTCCTCCCTTCTGCTCATTAGGGGTCCCCCTCTCTGCTCTTCAGGAGGGGTCCTCCTCCAGCTTCTCAGCCACCCACTGCAGCCTGGCTGCCTGTAGCTCTGTATCCCTAAGCTGCTCCAGGGACAACTCCAGCCTCCTGCTCTTTTCAAAGCCTCTGGCCTCTATGCCTCCTGGTCGTGTAGCTTTTAAAGGAAGGTGGCAGCTGGAGATTGGATGCATCCTCCAGAAGCTTGGGTCCAGCCCAGCTGCTGCTCATGCCCACCCCCCATCCCATGCACTGCACACCTCAGTGAGCTCAGTGCCCCCATAGCAACTGCTGGGCCAGCTGGTGGGCCTGAACTCACCTGCTCTCCAAGTGTGCCCAGTATCCCTCTGCCAGCAGGAAGGCAGATGAACTAGCAGCCAGCTGCCAGGAGGGGGCGTGCAGCAAGACGCATGGTATTTTGCTTTTAAACTAAAACAATCAAGATTAGTCCTGTGTCCAGTTTTGTTCCATTGGCCAGACCAGAGGTGCCACATTGAAAAAGAGGAAGAGTGTGCAGAAGAGGCTTCTGGGTCACAGCTGAAGGAGCCAGTGTTAGGACCCTGTCCTCCTGGTAGCTCCTGCCCGCTCTGAGTCCCATTTCCTATATAGCTGCCTCTGCCCCTGGCACCAGTAGTGAGATCCTCAGGCTCCACTGACAGGTGTCTCTTGGGGATGGCCTCATTGCTAACTGTCCTCGTCCTCCTCCGTGTAGTGCAAAAGATATGAAGCACCGGCTAGGCTTCCTGCTACAGAAGTCCGACTCCTACGAGCACAGCTCTGCCCACAGCAAGAAGGACAAAGTGGCTGTTTGCCTGAGGTAAGAGAAATGGCCTTGGTGAAGATCAGCTGTGCATGACAACTGGCGAGGAGATGTCTGTGACAGGGGATGGAGTCTGTATCCTGAAGGCAAGGTTTGACTCCAGAGGACCTCCATTCTCCTGGAGGTCACAGTTGGATTAGAAATTTTCACATGCTTAGTGAAAAACTGTCCTAATTGACAGCAGGTCTCATTATAATGACAGAAGATACCATCTCTGCATATTATCTAGGATCTTAGACGTCTTTCTCCAATTCTACATCATGGCATTCAAGTTATGCTTTTTCTCTGTGATATCTCTAGGGTGAGCCAAGAGGAAGTCAAGAAATGGGCTGAATCACTGGAAAACCTGATTACCCATGAATGTAAGTCTGATGCCCCCTCCTTCCCCGGGGACCCTGGACAGACGCACTCAGGATAAGACAAGTTTACCTTGTGCTGGTCTAATAGGACCTGCAGGAACGTTGGTATCTTTCTAGTTACCAGACCAGGATAAACTTGTTCTCACATCCCATCTGTTAAACACTTTACCGTGTCTAGAATTTTGCAATACACAGTGGAAATTCATACAGAAATAATTATTGTTCTCATCACATGGAAAAGTGGCAAAGAGAAAATATTCTGAATATGGACATCTTCCTGTAGAATTAGCCTCAGTTTCTCTTTCAATGCCATCTTGGTGGTTGATGGCTGTGTAGACATCTCTGAGATGTAACAATTTCTTGAAAGGGGCTTGAACCTTGCTTAGGGATCACTAGGTGTAACTGGGATCTGTTTGAAGTATGATGCTCGGGGCCTGAAGCCTGACAGTGTGGTTCTCCCTGTACCAGGTGGGCTGGCCACGTTCAGGGCATTCCTGAAGTCCGAGTACAGCGAGGAGAACATTGACTTCTGGGTTAGCTGCGAGGAGTACAGGAAGACCAAGTCACCCGCCAAGCTCAGCCCTAAGGCCAAGAAGATCTACGAGGAGTTCATCTCTGTGCAGGCCACCAAGGAGGTAATTCTCCACCAGCAGTCTTCCTGGACCTGGGAGGAGCTCCTAGGGGTAGGTGTGGGGTGGGGTTTTCAGATCCTAGAGCTAGGAAAGCCACCCAGCATGCTGTCGCACCCCTCAACCATCCCAAGTAAGCCTGTTAAGGAAATGTCTTTCATCCACGGGCTTAAGTTGCCTCCTCTAAAGCTTTTTCCTGATAAATCTCCCCAATCTGGGAGACAGAAAGGAAGATGTTGCTCTTCCCACCTGAAGCAGGATGGACCTCCTCACCTCCCAGGTGCCCCATGGCACTAGGTGCCCTGGGTGCAGGGTGCAGCCACCTGCATCCCAGCACGGAGCTGCACCTCTGACTTGGCAGGGATCCGGTCTGATGGAGCCTCTGTCTTTGTCCCCAGGTGAACCTGGACTCTCACACCAGGGAGGAGACTGGCCGGAATGTGTTGGAGCCCACAGTGACCTGCTTTGACGAGGCCCAGAGAAAGATCTTCAACCTGATGGAGAAGGACTCCTACCGCCGCTTCCTCAAGTCCCGGTTCTATCTGGATTTGGCCACGCCTTCCAGTGGCAGGGCCGAGAAGCAGAAGGGAGCCAAGGGTCCTGCAGACTGTGCGTCCCTACCCCCGCAGTGTGCCTGATTCCCTCTGAGGCCCAGCCTGGAATGGGAGATGCTGTGTTCTGGACACCTGAGGACAACAACAAGCGTGGTGACTGTGCACAGCCCTGTGTAAGTCACTGCCATGTAGACTTGGGTGGAGCAGCCCACCCTCCCCAAGCAAGCACCCAAGTGATGGCCTCAGGGCTGGGATTCCAGACCCACTGGCAGTGCCCTCCCACAGCATGACCTCCATCTGGTCGGCTGGTGCACATCCTCTGACACCCATGTGGACATGCATTCTGCTGGCCAGCACTTCTGCAGGTGCGGCGTTAGGTGAGGTCCATGTATGGGACACATGAGTCTGTGTGCATATTAAATATCTATAATACATACATGTGCATTCTGCATACATTTATGTGTGTATATATCCATATATGTTGTTAATTTGATTGTGTATACACATGTTTCTGCAGGATTAGACAGACAGAAGGCCTCAGGTGCTCAAATCAGTGTGTGTACACACTTCCACGCACATTCTCATCTCTAGCCTTTCTGCTGCCTTGGCACAAGGCAAGCTGAGCTAGTGCCATGCAGGCTAAGAGGGGGTGACAACCTGTGCACCCTGGTTCTATAAAATCCATGGGTTTTGCTGGAGAAGAATCCAAGGGACTTCCTGCAGGTGTAGCCCTGACAGCCTCCGCCCTCAGTCAAGTTGCAGGAAGGCTCATGGACCTGACCTCACAGGGCTCTGGCCCGGGCACCTTTCCTGGGTGCTCAGGCATGCTAGTGAGCGGCCGGGCTGGGCTGGCATCCAGAGATGGAGGGAGTGAGGAGCTGTAGGCAGGGTCTAGCCAGCTTTGTGAGAGTGAGTCTCTGCCTGGGCCAGGGCACAGAGCTCCAGATTACTGCTGTTGTCTGTGACCCTTGTCCCCTCCTGATCAAGGTCTGTTTTTATTCCCCTGAGAACTGAGAACCTTGGCCATCAGATAAGCGACTGAGTTCCCCTGGCAGGCTCTTTCCTGTAGGGTTCCAGGCTATGTACTTGCATTGATAAACCCAGCAGTGGAGAAAGGGTACATTTCTAAGGGGAAACAAGTTTTCACAAACTCAGAAAGTTTTCTCTTCAAGGCAAATCTTGTTCATACCATCCTAAACATCACAGACTGAAAAAAATTTTCTTCTATGTCCTGAGAGCAAAGAAAAGAGACATGAAGAAAGTGGGAAAGGAGACCAGCTGTCCTAACAACTAGTTTTAAGCTCTCCAAGGCACTTGAAATATTTGCCAATGCCTCATGGGTGCTGTCTCTGAAGTTCATCTGGGCATGTGTTTAGTGCTGCCTTGCTGTGCAGGCAGGGGTGGGGCCTTGCTTGGACAATTAGGGAAAGACCAGGAAGCCTTTCCTTCCCTTTCTCCTGAGCTGCTGCCTTGGAAAGTGCACATACTGCTCTTTCACCCCGACACAGGCTGCTGCTTAGCCGGTACCCTAACTGCATGTGAGAACCCTGGGGGTGTGCATCCCTTTGCTAGACACACAAGCTCCTGGTGGTGTCCTTCATCACCCTGGCTGATCTCACAGTTCTTGTCATCAGACTGTCTAACAGTCCTGTCTCCTGATGATGTCACGGTCCACCTGTGCAAATGACCTTGCCCTTTGCGACATCATGACTTCTGAGTGTACATGTGGCCAAAGACTGTACCTCATAGGCCGGCCTGGAAGGCCATTCCAAATGAGAAGTAAAACACTTTGTGGAATATATTTTTGAGTGGTTCTTCATTGTAGTTTCCTGTGCTTTCCTGACTGATGTGGCCAGCTTCTCTGCTCAAAGTTCTGGACAAACGCTTCTGTATACACACCTGCCTCTGTTGTGTGCTTGCTAGACCTGAAGGCCCAGATTCCTGTGGAGTACAGGCATCATACAAAAAGGTTTATAAATGCTTCCTGCAACTGTGTTCCTGGAAACATGTTAACATCCTCCAGACATACAGAAGAACATGAGGGAGCAGGGCTTGAACCTCTACCCTCCAATAGGAACCTAGTGAAAAACAGTATGGAAGCGCTGGACCAAGGCATCCTGGTCTTCAAGCCCTCCCGCTGCCCCTTCTGCACTCAAAGGACCGAAGCATGCCGATCCTCAGGCCCTGCCCCTGTCCTTCCTCATTCACTGGAACATGGCAGCCCTGGTCCTCAGGCCCTGCCCCTGTCCTTCCTCACTCACTGGAACATGGCAGCCCTGGTCCTCAGGCCCTGCCCCTGTCCTTCCTCACTCACTGGAACATGGCAGCCCTGCTCCTCAGGCCCTGCCCCTGTCCTTCCTCACTCACTGGAACATGGCAGCCCTGGTCCTCAGGCCCTGCCCCTGTCCTTCCTCACTCACACGACCATGGCAGCCCTGGTCCTCAGGCCTTGCCCCTGTCCTTCCTCACTGACTGGAACATGGCAGCCCTGCTCCTCAGGCCCTGCCCCTGTCCTTCCTCACTCACTGGAACATGGCAGCCCTGGTCCTCAGGCCCTGCCCCTGTCCTTCCTCACTCACTGGAACATGGCAGCCCTGCTCCTCAGGCCCTGCCCCTGTCCTTCCTCACTCACTGGAACATGGCAGCCCTGGTCCTCAGGCCCTGCCCCTGTCCTTCCTCACTCACACGACCATGGCAGCCCTGGTCCTCAGGCCCTGCCCCTGTCCTTCCTCACTCACTGGAACATGGCAGCCCTGGTCCTCAGGCCCTGCCCCTGTCCTTCCTCATTCACTGGAACATGGCAGCCCTGGTCCTCAGGCCCTGCCCCTGTCCTTCCTCACTCACTGGAACATGGCAGCCCTGGTCCTCAGGCCCTGCCCCTGTCCTTCCTCACTCACTGGAACATGGCAGCCCTGGTCCTCAGGCCCTGCCCCTGTCCTTCCTCACTCACTGGAACATGGCAGCCCTGGTCCTCAGGCCCTGCCCCTGTCCTTCCTCACTCACTGGAACATGGCAGCCCTGGTCCTCAGGCCCTGCCCCTGTCCTTCCTCACTCACTGGAACATGGCAGCCCTGGTCCTCAGGTCCTGCCCCTGTCCTTCCTCACTCACTGGAACATGGCAGCCCTGGTCCTCAGGCCCTGCCCCTGTCCTTCCTCACTCACTGGAACATGGCAGCCCTGGTCCTCAGGCCCTGCCCCTGTCCTTCCTCACTCACACGACCATGGCAGCCCTGGTCCTCAGGCCCTGCCCCTGTCCTTCCTCACTCACTGGAACATGGCAGCCCTGGTCCTCAGGCCCTGCCCCTGTCCTTCCTCACTCACACGACCATGGCAGCCCTGGTCCTCAGGCCCTGCCCCTGTCCTTCCTCACTCACTGGAACATGGCAGCCCTGCTCCTCAGGCCCTGCCCCTGTCCTTCCTCACTCACACGACCATGGCAGCCCTGGTCCTCAGGCCCTGCCCCTGTCCTTCCTCACTCACTGGAACATGGCAGCCCTGGTCCTCAGGCCCTGCCCCTGTCCTTCCTCACTCACTGGAACATGGCAGCCCTGCTCCTCAGGCCCTGCCCCTGTCCTTCCTCACTCACTGGAACATGGCAGCCCTGCTCCTCAGGCCCTGCCCCTGTCCTTCCTCACTCACTGGAACATGGCAGCCCTGGTCCTCAGGCCCTGCCCCTGTCCTTCCTCACTCAAACGACCATGGCAGCCCTGGTCCTCAGGCCCTGCCCCTGTCCTTCCTCACTCACTGGAACATGGCAGCCCTGGTCCTCAGGCCCTGCCCCTGTCCTTCCTCACTCACTGGAACATGGCAGCCCTGCTCCTCAGGCCCTGCCCCTGTCCTTCCTCACTCACTGGAACATGGCAGCCCTGGTCCTCAGGCCCTGCCCCTGTCCTTCCTCACTCACTGGAACATGGCAGCCCTGGTCCTCAGGCCCTGCCCCTGCCCTTCCTCACTCACACGACCATGGCAGCCCTGGTCCTCAGGCCCTGCCCCTGTCCTTCCTCACTCACTGGAACATGGCAGCCCTGGTCCTCAGGCCTGTCCCTGTCCTTCCTCACTCACTGGAACATGGCAGCCCTGGTCCTCAGGCCCTGCCCCTGTCCTTCCTCACTCAGTGGAACATGGCAGCCCTGCTCCTCAGGCCCTGTCCCTGTCCTTCCTCACTCACTGGAACATGGCAGCCCTGGTCCTCAGGCCCTGCCCCTGTCCTTCCTCACTCACACGACCATGGCAGCCCTGGTCCTCAGGCCCTGCCGCTGTCCTTCCTCACTCACTGGAACATGGCAGCCCTGGTCCTCAGGCCCTGCCCCTGTCCTTCCTCACTCACACGACCATGGCAGCCCTGGTCCTCAGGCCCTGCCCCTGTCCTTCCTCACTCACACGACCATGGCAGCCCTGGTCCTCAGGCCCTGCCCCTGTCCTTCCTCACTCACTGGAACATGGCAGCCCTGGTCCTCAGGCCTGTCCCTGTCCTTCCTCACTCACTGGAACATGGCAGCCCTGCTCCTCAGGCCCTGCCCCTGTCCTTCCTCACTCACACGACCATGGCAGCCCTGGTCCTCAGGCCCTGCCCCTGCCCTTCCTCACTCACTGGAACATGGCAGCCCTGGTCCTCAGGCCCTGCCCCTGTCCTTCCTCACTCACTGGAACATGGCAGCCCTGGTCCTCAGGCCCTGTCCCTGCCCTTCCTCACTCACTGGAACATGGCAGCCCTGGTCCTCAGGCCTGTCCCTGTCCTTCCTCACTCACTGGAACATGGCAGCCCTGCTCCTCAGGCCCTGCCCCTGTCCTTCCTCACTCACACGACCATGGCAGCCCTGGTCCTCAGGCCCTGCCCCTGTCCTTCCTCACTCACTGGAACATGGCAGCCCTGGTCCTCAGGCCTTGCCCCTGTCCTTCCTCACTCACTGGAACATGGCAGCCCTGGTCCTCAGGCCCTGCCCCTGTCCTTCCTCACTCACTGGAACATGGCAGCCCTGGTCCTCAGGCCCTGCCCCTGTCCTTCCTCACTCACTGGAACATGGCAGCCCTGGTCCTCAGGCCCTGTCCCTGTCCTTCCTCACTCACACGACCATGGCAGCCCTGGTCCTCAGGCCCTGCCCCTGTCCTTCCTCACTCACTGGAACATGGCAGCCCTGGTCCTCAGGCCCTGCCCCTGTCCTTCCTCACTCACTGGAACATGGCAGCCCTGGTCCTCAGGCCTTGCCCCTGTCCTTCCTCACTCACACGACCATGGCAGCCCTGGTCCTCAGGCCCTGTCCCTGTCCTTCTTCACTCACTGGAACATGGCAGCCCTGGTCCTCAGGCCCTGCCCCTGTCCTTCCTCACTCACACGACCATGGCAGCCCTGGTCCTCAGGCCCTGCCCCTGTCCTTCCTCACTCACTGGAACATGGCAGCCCTGGTCCTCAGGCCTTGCCCCTGTCCTTCCTCACTC